GTGTGTGTGTGTGGTTGGTGTGTGTGTGTGTGTGTGTGTGTGTGGGGGGGTGGGGGTGTATGTGTGTGTGTGTATGTTCATGTGTGTATGTCTGTGTATGTACATGTGTATGTATTTGTGTATGTGCATGCGTATGTATGTATGTATGTAGGTAGGTAGGTAGGTAGGTAGGTATGTATGTATGTATGTATGTATGTATGCGTGCTTGGTGTATGTATATGTATGCCTTTATGTATGTATGCATGCATGCATGTATGTATGTATGTATGCATGTATGTATGTATGTATGTATGCATGTATGTATGTATGTGTGTATGTATGCATGGATGCATGTGTGTGTGTGTATGTATGTGATGTGATGTGATGTGATGTGATGTGATGTGATGTGATGTCTGTCAATGTTCGTATGTACATGAACAGGAATGTCGATGCACCACTGGTACCACGACTTCTAGTACCACTACTATGACTACTACCCTCATTAATACGTAGACGAGCGACAGCAACAGTCACAGCTAGAGCAGCAGCAGCAACAGCAACAACCAAAAACACGCCGTCAAGTGCAGCTGCAATTCCGCAGCCACAGCACCAGCAGAAGCTTAGTCCGTACCGACAGATGGTCATGCGGGAAAGGGGGAAGAGGAATATGACGAGGACAAGGATGGACGCATACACACAATACAGGAGTGTGCTAAGGATTCCATGTGCTTGTTGTCTGAATTCTTACGTCTGCATAACCCTTAAATAATTAGGAAACATGAGTGCATCATGCACAATCATATCCGGGCATGAGTGCCTGGACGTTGATCTCAGTGTTTAAAAGTTGTGTTTCAAACGCAAGAAAAACGATTGCGTTCAGATCTCCGATTGCATTACCTCCCTCGGTCTCGATCGATTGCTCTCGGCCTCTGTTTGTGCAGTGCGGTTGCTGCGGTCTCTTCAGAATGATTTCGCCACTGTGGCTGGGACGGATCTTTGTCAACTGCAGCACCACCAAAATTCTCCAAAACACTTGCGCTTCTGGGTGCCAGGCCACAAACCGCTTAAACCCCTTGGTTTGCATAATTTCATGACTGCAGTCATGGAAATATGACTTTCGGATCTGCTCATTGCACCAGTAGCCGGGAAAGTGCTGATGTGGTTCGCTTTCCGACTCCTGAAGGTATCGTCGCAGCACCCAATGTGCGTGTGGAAGAGAATCTACAGAAGGTTGGCCGCCTTAGTCATAGTCTTTCGATATCTCGGGTTTGAGGCTCGGCCATTGCACTCTTGTCTGACACCTCTAGCAGACCCTAGCTCAACTAGGAGTTTCGATAATTGATGAGGTCATGCTAGCACAGATTTCAGTGAAGATCCGGGGTGAAGAAGGTCTTTCGACGACGCGGTTGTCTATTCTGGGCTTCGTGACGTATACAGCCCTCAGCCCGGCAGCCTCATGTTCCTTGTGGGTCGAAGAGTCCATCGAACTGGGGAATGCAAGAGGAGACTGGGGTTTGGAGTTCGGGAATACAGTTCAATTCGCAGCCAGAGCAGACACAGGCAGCACCGGTTGCACTTTGTGTCAGCTGCACAATTAGAACCACAGTTAAATGTTCCGGAAACTTGCAGTGCTCCTGGAATGGGTCAGGATTCAAGCGTCACCTTGCCCATCACCAGCACCCTTTCTGTACAAAGTCACCCTGGCAAGAAGCTACCCCTAATGAAGCACGATGCCCACACTTTAAGCAGCGTTGGTCTGGCTCTGCGTCTTACTGGTCTGGCCGTCAAGATGTGATGGCGTCTTTTTACATCGTTACGCAAAGCTGTGACCACTGGAATCACAAAAGCCGGCTCTCAACATCAAGCAACCGGACTCCCTGCAACAGTGACTGAGATCATGTTGCTTCTGTTCGCTGAAATAAGCGGAGCACATGATCAAGTTCCTGTGTCCGTTCATATGCACCGGAATGAAGCGCAACCCCCCCACAATAAACCCTTCTGCACAAGACCCGAACCAAAGGTCCTACATCTCTGGGTGCCATTCGAGATTCTCCTAACCAGCAGTATGGATTCTGTTCGTTCCTTGGACGGCTCGATCAACGTTCCCGTTCTCGAGGTTCGATCTTTCGCAGTGTGCATCATGTTGTCCTTTTGGCTCTGCCGGGATGGCCTTTCAGTCTTGGATCGGGCACTTACATGGTAAGCAAGGGTTGGGCTGAACACTCTGGATGACCTCTGCTGAAGACAATTGAGAGCGTAGACGCCTGCTTAGACAGCTCATATCTTTCACTCCCCCGCCGCGCGTCTCCCTCTTTTCCCTGTCGCTCTTCAATCAATCTCTCTCTCTCTCTCTCTCTCTCTCTGGGCAGGGCAGGGCCGAGCGGGGGGAGGGGAGCATCGTTTCCGGAGGCGGTGTCCTCGCAGAATGGGCCCTTGCTGGACGCCTCAAACGTAGTGGTTGGCGGACTGGTCGATGCAGCAAAGGCTCGCTCGTTATCTTGAGGAACAGAGATTGTCGGAATATGCTTGTGTGGACAGCTGTAGCTGCCACATCATTCGTGACAGACCCCTGAAATACCTGTAGAAGACTTAGCACTTCGGCTGACTCTGCTTGAATTGACTTGAGAGCTGTTGGGCATCCGATTTCAGATGAATGTTTGGGGGATCGATTGTTTTGGAAGCTCTGTGGATGACGTCTTTCAACGGAATCGTTTTCATGGTTTTATTCAAAAAGCATATCATAAGTCAGAAAAACCAGCCAGGACTCACGCAAAAAACAAAGAAACTCTGCAAGAAGGCCACCTGCACACGGACTCACGGAATGAACAAATAAAAGCAAAAAAAAAAAACAGCAATAAAACAACAAAGCAACGAAAAAAACCGGACAGGGTTTGCTGGTTTGGCTGCTTTTTGGGCTCCCTCGAGGGGAATTGCTTTTATTTGAGTCTTTGATGAGTCGTTTTTGCTTTTTGGCTGCTTTTTGGGCTCCCTCGAGGGGAATTGCCTTTTTTTTTGAGTCTTTGGCGCGTCTTTGGCGAATGTTTTTTGCTGTTTGGCTGCTTTTTAGGGGAGTTGCTTTTTCTTGAGTCTTTGACGAGTCTTTGGCGAGTCTTTTTGCTGTTTTGCTGCTTTTTTGGGCTGCCAGATGAAATTGGTCCCCTGGACCTGGATTTGTTTTTTGTTGTTGTTTTGAGCAGCTGATGTCTGCATTGCTTTTTTGGTGATTATTTTTTGTTTTTTTCTGCTGAGTCCAGGTTTTGGGGTTGCTTTTTTGGTTCAGTCTTGATTTTTTTGCTTGCTTTGAATTACTCATGGAAAACGATTCTGTGTGGGGTGCTGACATCACAAAACTGGCACCGAGACTCAGCTCAGACCCGGGTGCCGGACCACAATCCCGCGGCTTGCGGTCGTGTTGAAACTGTTGCCTCTTTCGAGACCCGGTTTTGGTTTCTCAGATCCCTCAAGCCCGGACCTGAAAGCCCAAAACCCCAGGAATTCATTCGGCATTCAGACTTTAGCTCTTGATTTCTCAATGCGATGCCCGTGCTTGGAAACTGCAAGCTGAAAGTAGGGTTGGCGTTCTGAGCATGTCTGAAGCCTCGGCTCTTACAGTTGCTCTTCAGCAAGGACGGAGCCCGGCCTTCAAAGCGTCAATCCCCAAGCAACAATTCTACAGGTCTCTGGCGCGTCCACGAACGGGCTGGTCCAAGACATTGCCGGGCGACAGCGGACCTACATCCAGAGCTTGTGCCCCGGATGAAATACTCAAGCCTCAGCAATACCAGACCCTCCCTTGACCCTCAATCCTGGAGACTTGGGCAGAAGCGCTGAAAGAATTCAGCCGACAGCCGCAAAACCCTGAATCCTCAAAGCCTGAACTTGAGCTCAGGTCGGGAATCCCCTTCTGAATCATTTCCACTGTATACGAAGCGGAAAGCCTCAGCACTCCAAATCCTGGAACCTTGATAAAACCATAACAAATGCGGTTGGAAACCCGAGTGTTCATGATGCACAAGCATCGTTCAGAGAGTAGGGCCCGCTTTGGGTATGGCTTGGTAGGGTTTCGAGCTACAGTCTTGCATGACCCTGGTAAGCAAGCATCGGGCACGGAACCTAATTTAGAGCACTTTCTAGAGGTTCGAACTGCTATAAGCTGCTCACATTGCTTCTGGCTTCAGCTTCACAGGGTCTTAGGGTCTTGCGCGATTTGGTCAGGCTTTCTGGTATGTCGGACTTTTTCCAGAGTGTCGGACGTTCTATCCGAGATTCTCTGTACTTTTCACCGGTGATGCAGCAAGCGGCTGTATCTGTGTGGCTGCCAAATTGAAAGTCACGTCCAGTTCCCTTATATGGTTTCCTGCAATTGACTGACTAGTGGACGCTTGCCCAGCAAGTCTAGACAGGCCTTCGGACGTCTATCCTCATGTTCACCTTCAAAAGGCTTCTTCCGCACTGGTTGCTAGGACTTGGGCTTCAGGCTTCAAGAGGCTTCGTCCGATGTGCTGCACCTTCTCGCCTGCTGGTCAATCGCCCCTGGCCAAAGGTGCCTGAAGGCACTTCTGGTCAGCCAGGGTGTGTCGCTGGTCGAGAACAAGGCCAGGCTCGTGCAGAAGTGTCAGTGTAGAAACGAGGGCAGTGATGCGGGTGGAAAGAGGAGGACAGTGTATCAACTGCGAGAGCTGCAAGCTGTCCCTCCATCCAGGCTTCTCTCAAAGAGACGAAGCTTCTCTTCGAAGCATCACATGCAGGCATCATCGAAGGTGTGCCATTCGCAGGGGTGCCAGTGCTGACCAATGTGTGCACTCTCCATCAGATGTCGGAGGTCTCCCGGCACAGAGGAGACCCCACCGTTCAGGTTGCAAAGGCGGGTTATAGATGATTAGCATCCGGCAGGCTGTGATTGAATCCGTTGCAACAGGGTGCCATAAGCTATCGCTCACTGTAACCTTCCACTGTCTTCATAAATTGACAAAGTTAGCGAACTTGTTCCGTCCCTCGTTGTAACTGAGGTGACCTTTTACTACTCAAAAGTGCGGCCGCTGGTAAGCGAGATCCTCAATGCCCACACAGTGCAGTCCAGCCAGGATGGCGCAATCATTCTTATATATGCATACACGTAGCATATATACATACACATACCTGGAGTACTTGTAATCGAGTTTGAATAACCAGATGCGCATATAATGTGTTCGGTCCGGTTGGGGTGTGGGGACATCTTTCTCACATTCGATTGCAAGTTGCAAGGGCAAGCTGGTTGTGCTGTGAGGACGTGCAGGTTTCGGTGTCGGACCTCGTTCGCCAATTCAGTTTCCCAAAATGCGCTCCTGATACATGCCTCTCCTGAAGATCATGCCCTGCAGCACGTATTCAGGCAATCAAAGGCTACTCGGAAGCCGCAACTCTGCCGTCGATCCACATTCATCATGTCACGAGTATTTCGCGACGCAATCCCGCACGCTATCATACCATCACGCTCACATTCGCTGAATAGCGCGGATTTCTCGATCCGGCAATTTTTCCTGAACGGCTCTTTATGGCAAGCTAAATGTCATGAGAGAAGAATGCACACACAGCGAAGACTAAGAGCTGACACTTGTTCACTCCTCGTTGTGTTCTCGTTTCAAGCTGCCGCGTCTCGCTAACTGTTCTAGCTCGTTTACACTCCAACTGTTCACCGTCTCTCTGGTGTTTGCAGTTGTTGTTGCTTGGCGCTTGGCGGTGCTTGCAGGAGAGCTCAGAGGCTTGCGCAAGAAATCGCAAATCTCACTGAAATGCTGTTCAGCTCCATGGTGTTGGCAGTGCCTTGGACCTTGGAATCTCTGAGTGGGCTTGGAACAACAGCGTCGCTGCGCAGGCTGCGCATATCTGCACGTAGGGTTGCCGGATCATTGCTGCCACTTGAGTGAAGCAAGTCACTGCAAGTGTGCACATACATGTACGTGCGCACGTCGGCTGGTCGGCGTGCGTGTGTGTCTAAACATATATGTGTATGTATATACATACACACAAATTTAGTTCATATTTTTTATTACATTAATTTGTTGTTTATTTACTTATGCGTTTGTCTAAGTATACGATGTATTTCTACACACGCATATATATATACACACACACATCTATGTATGTATGTATGTATGTATGTATGTATGTATGTATGTATGTATGTATGTATGTGTGTGTGTGTATGTATGTATGTATGTGACATGTGTATATATGCACATACATATATCCGTACATCCAGACATGCATATATATATATACACATGGTACAGTACCCCACCCCCCGAGTTATCTACCAGTTTTGGTGTAAATCCCTGTCTGTTATGCCCCTGACCCTCGACTAGGAGCTTGTTGTGCCTCATGCTTCCAAGGTGGATCTCTTCAACAACGAATCCACGGCCTGTGACCTGGCCTCGGCCATGTCCGGCGCCGAATGGCTCTCCTTCATCGACACCCTGGGTCAGCTCAGGCTAGAGACGCAGCCGCTGGGCTTCGTTTTCAAGCGGCCGAGATATAACAAATCCCGGATCTACAACAGCTATTCAAACCGCCAGCACAAGCCTAAGCACGATAAATTACGACATTCACAACAGCAGCAACAGCAATAGCCGTTGAGGGTATCCTTGTCAGCTCGACCGGTTGCTTCATATTGCAGCCAGCCCCGCAGACTCCCAGCAGCCAACCCGCCAAGGCAGGTATCCCAGCATTTTATGCAAGTGGCTCTCGGGTCAAACGTGCACACTAGCAAGGTGGAGATCACTGCAGCCATGACGCAAAGAGCTTCGGGTTTAAGGTCAGGACTGGGCTGGAGCTGCCCCTCAACATTTTGGATCTTGTCAGGGACGTTAGTGTTGTTTGTAACTAACACGGGAGACAGCCTGATATCCTGATACGCCGGTTTCAGATTTTGCAGGCATCACGACTAGAGATGTTGCGAGTATCAGTTTGATGTCCCTTTTGTTGTCAAGTTCCGTCTTTATGCCTGCGGGCTTTCGGCTTCGACCCCCAGCAAAACGAAAGCTCTCCATCGCCTCGGCTGGCAAAGGCTGCCAAGATGCGATCCTCGTTGAATAAAACCAAAGAAGACTCTTAAGTTCCCTTTCCAACTGGGGCCCACTTGGGGCTACAACAGACCAGCCTCAATCCGGTGCTTGCCAAAGACGTTCCTGGACCCCGCACCGAAACAGGTGGACAATGAAGCACAAATCCCAGAGCAGCCATAGCCGGGCACATGAAAGTCCAGATAGGTGTCTCATAAGAGTGTGCAGCGTCTGCCATTCGTGCCATGTCTTCCTGTGCCATGGAACAGTGCATGAAGATCCCAGTGACCCCAAGCCCTGAACCCAGGTTATGATGTCCTCGGCCTCACAGAGGCTGCGAAGCCTCATCGAGGGATGCAAGGAACAAGGGATCCCGTCACCGCCAACCCAAGGCCACACGGCATTATCGTCAATGCATCTACAGTGTTGACTTCAGGGTTGAGTTATTGGGCTGACGGGGTGCACTTCGAACAATCTTCCGGAGGACCGTCCCTTCGGTCATAATTTGGGTGAGAGACGGACGTATGGGGGTGGTCTTTAGTTTGGGCAAAGAGCCTCCTTTCGATGTTAGTGCCCTGATTCTTGTCTGTTCTTGTGCACGGTTGTTGACTGCGCGCTTGATATCCGAATCTGCAGCCCCGCACCCTAACACAAATATCCCAAAGGGAAGCCTATCAGAATCGAGTGTAGGCTGGTCGAAAGTCTGGGACCTGGAGCCCCAACTCAAAACCCCAGACTCCAAACCCTCGGACATCCTGCACTTCTCCGAGCCTTTGACCTCAAAAGCCGGACCATTCCTCATGAACATAACAAAATGATCCCGACGAAGAACAACCAGGCCCCCACGTGCAACCAGCATTATGCTCTTCTTCGAGCCAGACTTTAAACCCCAGCATTGTAGAAGTCGTACATAATCTCAGGGGTGGTGGACCAGCTGCTTATTGGCGTGGAGACGTGGAGCATGCTAGAGACGGAGTTGACGCAGGCGGTTCGAAGTGAGGCGGCCTGGCTTCGGAGATGGGAAACAAGTAGTCGCCACAGGTGCCACATCGTGGGGATTACCCTGAGAGTTACCGCAGATGGCTGCACCATGACATCTTTGGGTGATGGTTATCTGAAGTTTCGTGGGCTTAGTTGTTATAGTGTTTTTGTGAAGTTTTGCCAAACCCTACATGTAAAGCTCTTAAACCCCTTCTGCAGTCTCGGGAGTGACCAGGACGGTAGAGGAAGCGAGAGAAGCTTCTACGATTCGGGCTGCAAGGCTTTTGTTTTGTCTCTGTAAACGTGTATGTAATTCGTTGTAAAAACTCAAAGTACTCGTTCTATGCATATGTGTACATGAAGCCAAGTGCGACGCTGGAACAATTTTCGTCAACCGACGCATAGAGTGATGCATCATTCCTTCGCCTCATTGCTGTGCGAAGAGCAGACGGCAAGAACCCGACGCTACCAGTAGCTACGTTTTGGCCCGGATCAAGTTCCATGGCGTAACCCCCTATTGTTGGACTGGATCAACATCTAGAGCGCAGGATTAGCAATACTGCTGCACCTCACTCTTTCGAGGTACAACCATATAAATGACATCTCTAAATTATGCCTTCCGTACACTCCATGCTACAGTGAAGTCTCCAGGAATCCGGCCCGGCCTCCTGTTCGGGATACATTGTTGATCAGGGCAGGCAGCCCAGGGCTAAGGGATAATCATCGAGTGCAGGGCCTTTGGTGCCTTGATGCAGGGCTGGCACCGCTCCGTCAAGGCAGACCTGTTTCTTAGCAACCGCAGCGTACGCCTACTCTATTTGCAATCACGTGAGTCCAAATTACAGGCTAGAGAGCTCCCGCACTCAGCCTCAGCATGTCAGGCTGTCTCGCCGATCACAGTGGACCGGGTCGCACTGCTCAGCGGGGACTTGCTCGACCAGCTAACTTCGGTCATGGATATGACTCTCAAGGACAGGTTCCGAGTGTCCTATCGCCTATCGCATGCGGTCTGAGCCTCATGCGCCTTCGCATGGTGATTCCCATGCTGCCTACACAGGCTGCCGGCCTCTCGGAACTTGGAACAGGTCTCAGCACTGAATTGGAGAAGCACCCTGTTCATCGAAGCACCATAGGCCGAGTTTGCATGAAGAGATGATGGCCTAAGGTTTTCACTGGCGCCAAGCCCCCTCAATTCTCTAAAGCCTTCGCCATGCTTCACAGTGATTTGGGTGTTCAGGATTTACGCCTCCGGAACCTGTATCCGAAAATCTTGAGAGAGAGGAAGCCTGGAGAGCCAGCGCGGACACAGCTTCCTACCTGCTCGACCTCACCAGCAAGCAGGCGATGCGCTTGCAGCTTCTCAGAATTGCGCATTTTTTGGATTCCGGGATGTTTTTCCTTGGCACTGCAGGCAAGTCCCCAGTTGGTGCTGCAACTTTCTGCTGAGCTAGGTTTGCGTCTTGCACAGCTTGTTACAAGGGCTGTTCCCGCCGCACTTCCCCATCTGCAGCTTTGGGCCCTAATAGGTCGAAGTCAGAGATGAATCTGTTTCTTTGGAATGTTTGTTGCTTGGGCTTGCGCAGGCGTGACGCATTGCCGGAATTGAAGGAGACTTCTAGCCAGCTTGGGTCGGTCCCCTTGACGGGATCATGGCGAATTTTCGGGGACGACATGATACAGTCACAGTCGTTCTGGCCCTATATACGATATAGACTGCTAATGGTGTTTACCGTATGGGTTTCTGGCACTTTGGCATCCGGCAGCGATGAGGTCCAGACTGTCCAAGGAGGCAAGCCTGGCGCACTATGGGTGGCTCGCCTAAGCTAGCGCCGTCCTGTCTAAGATGTCTTAAACCCTACAGTACGTTAAGCATGCTAGCTTTGCCATGTGCTGAACGGTGTATTCCGAAAGAACCAGAAGTGTGATTTGTGACTGGTCCTAGGAAACATGCCCATTGGCATCACGTCGTCTAACCCTATGGACATCATGTTCTTATCAGAAGCGCGTGTCTTGTTGGCCGCGGAAGGTTGGTAGCGATCGCAGCTGCCATCCAAGAAATGGCTGTGTAACCTAAGGATAAAACCGGAGCAGAACTGGTTGGCACTGAATGCATCCCGCGACTCCTTCGTGGCCACGCATCACCTGCTTTTGCTGGGTTCGCCTGCTCAGAATACCACTCCAGCTGTGCCGAAGCGGTCCCAGCTCTGCATCATCCGGCTCATGCACGAGGTGGCATGTGCACAGCTTTACGATGTTGTGACTTGTTGTTTGCTGACTTCGCGCAAAGACCTGGGACCTGCTAGCACCACGAAAATCTTGGGGAGGCCAGCGCTGTGTCCGGGGAATGTGTGCAGCGATTGCAGCGCACCAGAGGTACATGTCGCTGCACCATGCTGCCCAAACCTTGGGAGCTGCAGGACTTGGGTTGTAGGGTTGGTGGAAGCATCGACGCGCCAGGTGGACGAGTTTTACCAACAGCTCCAGGAAGCGGCTGTAGCTGTGGCTTATGGCCACTCGTCATAAACTGGGCATGATGCTTTTCGATGGCGTGAAGTCTTGGGATTCTTCCGGGGCTCTGGTCGCCTGGGATTCTTGTAGACAATGCAGGCGGTTCAAGCTGTTGTCTTCAAGGTCGGGCTTTTTGGCCCCAGAGTCAAATTCTTTCAACCCTCACTCTTGTCCGATAAGACGTGAATCTCGGCCGTCAGGATATCCAGCACAGATCAGATTTTCCGTATGCTGGTAGCAACCGGCTAGGTGGTCCCCACTGGGCTCTACGTACAATTTGTGAAAGGAAGGTCTCCAAACAGGGTTGCGCTCAGTCATACGGCATCCCACGATCTGTGAAATGTCCATCTTGGACTTGAAGGCTTGTTCGTAGTCTGTTCGGGTTTTCTACACGGCCACGGCACGGACAGACACGCTGACTACCGTTCCTGCGTCGCTGAACAGTTTCTTTGGGGGTGTGGGCTTCCTCCTTTTCTCAACCTCATGACTATCTGACTTAAGTTTGCCGTCTGAAGCTGTAGCGGAACACTCGGCTGGCAGGTTCAAGTTTCCTTTAAGGATCTTTGTCGCGATATCTTTTGCAAGGCCGGTGATCCCTGTGTTTTTCACATTGTCTGACAACAGATTCTGTTTGCTTTGGTAGAGGAGGAGGAGGCCGGGGGAGACGAGAAGAGGAGGAGAAGGAGGAGGAGTAAGTAGTAAGTAAGTAGTTCTGGTAGTATGTCGGTAGTGCCAAGTGGTAAGTTGTAAGTAACAAGTAGCAAGTAGTAAGTAGTAAGTGGTAGTATGCAGTGAGTAATAAGGATCAAGTAGTGAGTTATGAGTAGCAAGAGGCTAGACCCCGAGGAAAGAAGTAAGTTTTTGGACCGTGACCCGTACGCGCCCGTGTCATTCCTTCACTTTTGCGCTTTTCGACTCGGTTAGTAGTGTAGCAGTGGCCGCAGTAGCAGTAGCATTAGCAGGAAAAGTAGCAGTACCAGTGCCACGGCCACTGCCAGTGGTAACAGAAGCAGAAGGAGAAGAGCCAGCAGCAGCAATGCATCGCTTTCAACTTTGTTCTAAACCAGGCATGCACGCCGAATACTGCCACAGGCTTGTGCAGAACTGCTCAAGACCCTTCACCTTCAACTCGAGAATAGCGTTCTGCCACGCAGCGAACCGCAGCCTTAATCGCGTTCCTCCAGGTAGCTTTGCGAAAGTATCGGACCTGGACCGGCTGAACCCACTTGCCCAAGAGGCCATGGCAGCTGCTTCGAAGGCGGCACCGACAAAACACTGAACCGGTCTTTGGATAGCGGCTGTGGCCCTAGTGACCCTAGTGTTCATTCCAAGAAACGCCCCAACAAGATTTCTGTTCGGGTTGCGGACTTGGATTCCAGACACATGCGGCGCAGAAGACTGGCTGTTGAAATCGAAATACAAAGCCATATATCCGTGCCCTTCCACATTCAAAGTCAGAAGCACACAGCAGATTGTCATGACGGCGAAGTGTGCCTACACACATCCGTGAAAATTACAACTGTCTTTTTTATTTTTATGAGATGTTGATGAGAAGGATGACGATATGATGACGATGGTGGCGACGATGATCATATTGTGGTTGATGATGGTGATGATGATGACGACGATGATGATGCTGATGCTGACGATGATGATGATGATGCTGATGCTGACGATGATGATGATGATGATCAAGACCATGATGATGATGATGATGATGATGAGGATGAGGCTGATGCTGATGACGGTGGCGATGACGACGACGATGCCGGCGGTGATGGTGATGATGATGCTGATGCTGACGATGATGATGATGATGATGTTGATGATCATGAAGCGGATCCGGCAGTGGTGTACATGCAGGGCTGATGCGATGCAGGCTTTGGTGGACGGAGTGTGCGACAACAACACCGGAGAGGTGGAACTGCACGCATGGCTCGAAGTCCATCAGGACGGTTTGTCCGAGAGCTGCTTCGGAAGGATAAAGATGTGGCAGACGTCTTTCGGAACCAGCTTGCAGGCCGCACCACGTCGGTAAGTTCGGCTCGGGTCCACACTGCCTTCAAGACCCCATAAGGACGCTCAGAGCCTGCCTCTAACCTACCACCCCGACGTTACATAAAGCCTTCCCCGACCCTGTTGTGACGTTACATAACAGTTTTTTGTGACAGCGGAAACACAAACACGAATGGCAGGATGCACATGTAGTTCGCTCTGGCGGGAAACAGTTGGGCGTGCGGTTGTGTGGCACCAGGCCAGGGATCGCAAACAGCAAGTTGCCATGGCCCAGCAGTCGGTGTGCACATATTCACAGACACCTGCAGAGACAGTTGAGCCCCTTGAGCCACAACAGTCTCCGCTCATTCCTACAATTACTCCTTTATCTCAACCTGCAAGAACCCTCACGGCCCCTCGACCCCAAACCACCAGGAGGCTGCTGATTTGGCGAGGCTCAGTCAGGATGCCACGGCCGCCTTCATCCTCGCCCAGCAGGCGACACGGCTCTCTGAGCGAACTTGCTCCATTGATTCTCGTTGATTCTGACGGTTACGAGTGCCTCTGTCGCCGCGTTATTGCAGTGGGATTTTCATTCTTCTTGGCCCTGTTGCATGAACATAACTCGCAATCGAGTCGTCATTTCGAGGGCCTATTCTAGGGGATTTGTTTTGACTTCGTTGCCATGGCCATTACAATGCTGAACAGCCCCACAGGCAACCAATCGCACGGAACCTAGAAACAGACGCGCAACACAGAACAAGGAGGCAGAGAGAGGAGGCAGATGGCACAAACAAGATCGCCGCTGGCATGTCGAGCTTACACAGCCCTGTCTTAACCCCCAAAAGGCCTCCTGTGATCGTCAGCTTCCACAAAGCAGGAAGGTGGCGGAAGGTTCAGCTCTCTGGATGCCGTGGCGCACGACGTGGAATCATCGCTTCACAGGCTTGGGGCTGCCAGAGTGTCGTAGGTTTCGTGCAAGCGGCTAGGTTTTCTGAAGCTGCTGCTATACCTGAGCATACTTGAAACAATCTGATCCCCAATCGGGTGAGCCATCCAACGGCCAATAGTTTGTGCTCATGCCCACGTCGGGGTGGCTTTGAATCGCTTCCTGAGCGCTGAATCCTTAAACTTGACCCCCGCGGTCGAATTGAGGCACAGTAGATGTCAACATGCATCACATAAATTCGTAAAGTCCTAAAGTCATGTTTGATTTATGTCATTACGTAGTGCCTTTGTTGCTGCCACAACACAGATGCGCCTTGCTATGTGGATTTTCAGCTGTTCGTCGAAAGGACTGACCAGCCAGTTTCCTCTTCATCCACCAATCTTCCGGGGTGGCAAGGTCGTTGTCGGACATGTCGTAAAGATTGCCTATCATGTCGTAAAACAGATGCTGTGAGAGTTTATCTACTGTGGCAAAATGTACGTCTTTTGGATTCGGTTTTCGGCACTCGGAAGCCTGGAAGCTAAATCCCGAACAGCCCCCAACCCACTTTCGGCATCAGCGCATCACTGTGTCGGAAGCGTAAATCCAGCAGGCTGATGTTCGGATCATGGGTACCCCATGTGGCCTCGCCACCGACGCAAGCCTTATTGGACTACATTCTGTCTACCTTGAGACCTATCCTGGAGAGGCCTGCGGCCTGCTCTGTGGGCTTTGGGGGTACAGTCCTGGCTTCTTGCACACTGTAACTCGACTCGAAAGATGTGAGCCCTCAACCAGGGAACTATGTATGCTATTCGCTGCTGTCCCGTAGCCTTGCCCAACAGCAAAGAAACATTCGCACGGCCCCTCGTTGACACCCAGCACACTCAGATTCGAAATCCGTGAATTGTAAACCTTCTGGTGCCCAACCATCCCAACATGTTCCACGACATTTGCAGACGAAGCCCTGTCTCCCTCAGGCACCGCAAGACTCCACCCTGCACAGGAAAACTTTGTGCTATCGATTTCCTCTGCTGTAGAATTGTTTTATGACTTCGGTGGTCCGAACAGCTGGGAAACGAAGAGATGCGAGGCTCTGACATGTTAGAGCTACGGCTAAAGCTAAATTGAAGCTCTTGCGGCCTTTAGTCTGCGGATTCGAGGTCTCCAACATCCGGGGTCAGTGAAGTTGAGGGTGTCTAACTCAGGGCATGGACCAAGTGCACGTACGCGACCTCGGTTCGTGCACTTGTTGTGTGTGCTTCAGATGTGCAGGACTTGACCCTTCCCTTCAGGGTCAGGAGTGCCTTTAAGGTCAGGTGTTTTGGGGAGAGGGATGTTTCATCGAGGGAGGTTCGTCGTGCCAGGCAAAGTTCAACATTCACGTCTCGTTCGGCCGGCGGTTACGTAAAATCAGGCGTGTCCACAACCTTTGTCCGAAAATCCTCTGGCTTGCATCGAAACCTCACATTATCCGCAATCTGACCCCAAGCCCTGCAGCCGGATCTTACCAAGCACCGGAAGTGCAGGTTCGAGTCAGCTTTGGCCGGGACGGATGTGCTGAGTGTGGAAGCTGCAGGCGTGAGCCTGCTCGGCGCAGCGGAGGCTTGGGGGTGGTATACCATGGCAAACCACTTACAGTAGCAGTCGTGGTTGTGGCAGCAGCAGTAGCAGCAGCTGCAGCAGCAGCCGCAGCAGCAGTTAGTAGTAGTAGTAGTAGTAGTAGTAGTAGTAGCAGTAATAGTAGTAGTAGTAGTAGTAGTAGTAGTAGTAGTAGTGGTGGTAGTGGCA